CTATAACTTCACTAAAAATATCTATCGGTAAGTTTGCTACAGTAAGATGATATTTACTTTTATCTGAATTAATTTTATGAATAAAAAATTGGCTTTCAATTTGTTTGAACCATAATTCAGGTTTTGATGACCAGAAAGGAGGTAATTTAATGTGATTTAAATTTTCGACACAACCAGTCTCTGACTCTGTTTCGTTATTCGGCATTTTATTGTCAAACACAAATGGCAACTTCAAAACATTAAGTAGTAACTCAAAACTCACCTCTTGCAATATTTCGCCCTTGACCTGCGGTATAGCAGGCAAAAAAACAAAAACCTTGAAGTATATCTCGTAGAGATGTTGCTGATGTGGTTGTTCTATCTGATTTTCTGACTTGATCACCTGGACCTGATGAGATTCTTATTTCTATCTTCTACGCCGAAATCCGATGGGTATCTTGTACTGTTGCTCGTACCGTTTCTCGTACCGTTGCTCGTACAATTCCTCGTACTGTTTCTCGTTCCGTTGCTCGTACAATTATGTGTTCTGATCGAGGGGTCACCAATATTATATAGGTATTCTCTGTATCAAAATAACTATATAATTAAAATTTCTTTTTTAAAATTCTTTTATTAAAAAGGTCAAGAACATGTTACTTCGAAAAAATGTAAAAATAATAATTTGTTGATGTTTCTTGTCTCTTGGTGTTCTGTTCTTTCTTTTTTTTCTTTCACAGCTATCCACCACACACTCCATTGTTTTTCCACCTACTACACCACAAATCAAAAACAGATGTGACTTCCAATGTCATCAACTTTGAAATTCTATGACATTGGCAGGAAACAGGATTGAGTCTCATGCCACCACGAAACATTCTAAAGTGCCATTCACATAACAAAAATAAAACGTCGAAATGACAAAGTGGAGATGACTGGTTTAAGGTTATAACATTTATCTATCAACGTAATTATGACAGAGAGAAGAGTAATATGTAGTACGAAGCACTACACACACTTCGCCCGTTCTACCCGTTTCTCGAGCCACAGCGGCATTCCCAGAACATTCCGTCGCCTCGAGCACGAGTCGGTTGCCTTCTGAAGGCCACGCTTGCTTTAGGCACAGAGTCGGATTAGGAGTTTCATGACACTGTTAAAATGATAAAGTGTTTATTCGTTTATTATATAATATACACACCACCACCACATTTCTTCTTGACAGCTGGGAAATGAAAGTTACGTCTATATCTTTATTAGCAATACATATTGCGACCAGAGGATGTTGCCCATTGATGTGTGCACATTTAAGTGCTGCATATCCTGTTATTTTGTATTTGCCATCCTTGCTGTAGGTGTATGGCTCTTGCAAGCAAATTATGTCCGCAGACAAGCTATCTGCAAGTGTTTTGGTTTATATGATTGCTAGCCTAGAATTTTGTGTTTTCCTGCACTATAGTTAACTTACTGTTTACCATAATCTATGTTAGATATTAGGTCTTGCGTCCTCTTCGCAAGCATAGGACATTTTGTTGATCTGGCTTCATGTTGCTTGGCAGTTTATGCAATTGGGCGTTCTTTCTTACTTTTTGCAGTCTTTAGTTTCGTGGGCTTCACCGCAGTGACCACAGGCTGTCTCGCTTCGGCTATCTTTTTGCAGGTGTCCAAATTTTTGGCACTTGTAATATCTTAATATTCTGATATGGGCTCTCACTACGCAGGATGACCATTCAAGAAACTCTGTTTCCTTTTCTAGTAATTTATGCCTAATTTCTGGTGTAACTTTTATTACCCATTGATTGAAATGTTTGTCTCTGACCAAACTTATGCTTTACCGTGTTATCGCCATCGTTTTCGTTCAGTAGAGTGTCGGTTATTTCATCTCTCTCTATTATGTATAGCTATTTGGAATGCCAAATACTGCCAATCTTAGTCTCCAGTTTTCCCAAGATCTTGACCTCTAGACCTGCATTTCTTAATGCTTCTGCATTTATTTTATTCAAGTCAGCATCAGTAGTGGTGATTCTCGCACCTTGCGAACCGTGTCTCGTTGTTCTTTCAGGTTTGACACCCAAATCTATGGGTCTTAATTCTGTGAGGAGCCTTTTCTTGGTATCTTTAGAAGTTTTTAGAGGTATTTGTTAGTTGGTCTGATTATCACAGACTGCTAAAGCCGCCATTATTGTCTTTTTTGCCGTTACATTCACTTTAACGGCATCAAGTTTTTTATTGAGATCTTTTGTGAAGTTGCCCAAGTTGGCGCCTCATAGGACCAAGAGCTGCGAAAATATACAGCCCATGCCTTTCAACAGCTTTTAGAAGCTCGGTGTTTTTATTCTTTGTGTTTTTTAGACCCATTAGCGCATGTAGGGGTCAACAATTTTTACATGAAAATCATTCCCTCGCCGCCTTGCTTTAGTATTTTGTTTAACTTGACGCAGAAAATCTACGTCTTGGACGCCGTGAACATCTTGACTGCAGTCTTTAAACCCGATTACTTTGTTAACGAACTTCACTGTTCACTGGAGTCTGTGACCTTAAAGTTGTACCCCCGTAGGGGCACTGACCATCTTAGCCGTAGACTAGGACTTGCGCTAAGCCTTTGCGCACAAGGTCTATCTGGAGAGGTGGGGTCCCAGAAAACCGTGGAGAGGGCAAGGTCTGTTATCTTGTGAATCAACACAGATATTAGGAGATCTTTATTGTTTGTTTCGCACTTTTGTCGCACTATATATCGTTTTTCTGGTCGAAAGCGAAATATTTATTCGCTATGAAAAGAGACCAGATTCATGAGCGATGTGTCACATAGCGGATATTGTACCAACTCGAGAAAACAACAGCTGCTATGTCAGCGACAGCAAATTAGGCAACCCGAAAAACACAAAAGTAAAAAACCTCCACATAGCAGGTTTTGACTTTTCAGCGACGATATGGTAGAAGGTTTCTATTCTGGTTTTATTATATGTAAAACAATTATTCCCATGGTGTATTTTGTACACCAGTTCAGATGTACAGAAAAATTAGTCACAAAAAGAGATAAGCTAAAGGAAAACCACAGTTTTTTTAGGATTTATATTACAAAATCAAACCAAAAATCATGTTATGGTGTAGCTTATAACTAAAAAATTTACAAACTATTCAGTGTCTGTAGTTTCTGCGTGATTTATGCAACTATTACATTTTATTGTCTTGACTGTGGTCTTTGCATATGCATTTTTACAAGTTTTACACTGCATAGTAGTAACTCTGTTTTTCCGTCTTCCACACAAAAAGCATCTGGATCTAATATTTGGTGGAGGCTCCTGGTCTTCATCGGTAATATGGGCTTGCGCGAAGAAGTTTTTGTAAAAAATAATAATTATATCCAGGTAGTTTTAACAGTACACTTGTTTACAGCTATCGGTATACACGTGTTCTTTGTCTCCTTTCGTATCGAAAAATATTTAACCACAAACTCTTTGTTTTCAAGTGATATTTTATATTGTGATAAAATAAGTGATTTGCAGTGATTTGATGAACATGGAAACCAACCCTCCCTTTAGAAAGGGGGGGACAGAATCTTCATTTGAGATAACGAATCCCTCGCAAATTCTCCAACAAGCGAGCGATGGCCTTGTCAATAAAACTAATGTAGATATTGGTACATCTGATAACGAGAAGCAAAAAAGTAAGGCTTTTAATCTGCAAAAACCCAATGATTATTCCGGACTTCGTGTCCATATATTAAAAAAATTGATAGGGTGGGCAAAAACAGAATCAGGGTGCAACTGAATAGCATAAAAGATGCTAATACATTGGTTTCAAATGATCTAAAAAAAGAAAATTTAAAGTCGTATATTCCAAATAATTTGCTTTTTAAAAAAAGTGTAATCAAGCACGTTGATAATATTTTTGATGAAAAATATTTTACTAATTTCTTATCCCCAGTTACTATAAATGATATGTACAGTGTCAAGCCAAAACTAGGGAGTAATGGTGAAACTATGTGGGGGAAGTATGCCTGAGATGGCATACATTTTTTAATAGGTCAAAATTTTTTTGGAAATAACTTTTAAAGAGTTACAAGTGAAAAAAATGATAACTTACAACCAAAACTAAATTCAGAAAATATTTGAATCATTTATTAATTAGGACAACTAAAAAATATAAACGAAAAAACTTACATGTTGCCATCTCATCCAGATACTTATGGGAAGATGGCATACTGAAATTAACATATGAACTACGGTCTGCAAATATCGCAAATGTATTGTTTTTGCTTCTTATCTATACCAGCAGACTCGATATGGGCCCATTTCGCACAAAGCTGATATCTAATCCATTTTTATTGAAAACGAGATCTCGAGAATATAACTCATTACAGTAGATACCAACATCATTTTCATCGTCATCAAATAACTCCGGTGCATCAGAACTATAGCTGCTTGTTTTCTCTTTAAAACACACTTTTTTCTTTACTTTCCTAGTAGATTTTCTTAGTTCTTTGGCTTCTTTTTCAGCAATAATCTATTTGGCGGCTACTATCTCAGATGTAGAGTTAAAAATCCATATTTTCCTCGATTTCTGTTTTTCGTTTAATCTGACTGGCAACTGGAAGAGGTGATATTTCAGCTACTGTAATGAATCTTGACGGACTTGGTATTTCTACAGTTAATGAGTTAGAAATATCTTTGGAACACGACGGATTTTTTTTGGGTGATGTACACATTAATCGATTCTTCTCTCTCTTAAGGGTTAAGTTTAGTTACATTCGGATTGTCTGGAACCTCAGATATATCGGTAGTCTCTGCTGGGACAAATAAATGATCGGGAAAAATATCTGCATTTAGTGGATATATTCCTGTTGAAAAGAAACTACTTTGAGCATTTTTCAATAAATTTTAATTTTTGTTACTCAGTGAGTAATCTAACTAATAATAAAGTAGTAAATAGAAAAACATTATTTTTCTTTTAAATAGTTTCAAGATATATATATATATATATATATATATATATATATATATATATATATATACCTAAAAGTATGTATGCAAACGTCGGGTTAGGGACAGACACGGGACTGACATATTAAGTGAATTTTAATTTAAATTAGCAGTTAAAATAAAAAAAAAAAACATTTTTTTTCAGTAGACTTTTAGATGACATTTATCTGGATAAATTGAAATATTTTAATTTTTATTTTTAATGATTTCAGTTTTCCGACTAATTAACAGGACACGGGATTAGTCGCTTTTGTGGCAATCACCCATATGTAGTCTCCGAACTCAAAAACATTATTGTCGAAAATTAAACTATGCAATGTAAATAATCGTCGTAATTTTCTAGTATGGCATTTTAGAGCAGCATCGCTCTTGGCTCTGTCAAATTCATCAGTATTTTGAATGTAATTATAAATTCTAAAAACTTCTTTATACGTTTCAGAAATTGTACCGTCTTCTAATATTCGCAGAACTTCTCGTTTTTTCGTCAACAAAATTCGCAAAAAGAACAACTCCATTTGGTCTTAGGATGCACAGTTGTTGCTTGCTAATTTGTCTTCTTTTTTCCATTCCACATTTTTGTTATCCTATGTGTAATATTCCGGGATTTCTGCATACAAATATTGTCTTGCTTCTTCGTCTTCTCTATTTAACGCTTCTAGTTTCTATTCTATTTTCTAAACGTCATTATATATTCTCATGATCGTATAATTTTTCATTTAAAATGGTTCGTTCTCCATGTAGATGCACGGACAATACCATATCCAAATGAGATCGATCGTGCGTTTTAAAGTCAATGTTCCTTCAATCGAGCTAACATATTGTAAATCTTAATATTGGCGGATTTCGTCTACCATTACTTCTGTTTCTCTTTGTTGCTGTTAACTGTCGTTTGTGGCCGTTATTGTTCTTCTTTGCGGTGTTGTTGCAGCACCCGCAGTATTATCGTTACCCATATACAAAGTAATAGCATCGTCTTTTTTATGAATATAATTATGTAAATATTTTATAGTATATTGAGGACTGACCACCTCAACATTAATGTGTGTGGTACATCGACAGAAGATATTGATTGTAGGGTCGATTATGGTTATGTGCTGCTGATATTGTTACAGATACATCGTATAAACAATATACGATATTACAGGCAAGAGATAAAAAAACGGCCGAAGTACAAACGATCCAATGATGGTCGGACAATGTATCTGGAATAATAGCAGCACGTAACCAATCGACGTATATTACCCCACAATCCAAACTAGAACAATAATGGCCACTAACAGCAGTCAACAGCAACAATTAGAAACAGAAGTAATGGTCGACGAAATCCACCAATATTATTTCCGATATGTTAGCTCGATTGGAGGAACATGTCGCATTTTTGGATTTAAAATGCACGATCGATCTCATTCGGTTATGGTATTACCCGTGCATCTACATAGAGAACGAATCATTTTGTATGAAGAACTAGACGATCATGAGAATATACAACGACGTCTAGAAAGTAGATCAAAATTCGAAGCGTTTTTAAAATTAAATAGAGAAAACGAAGAAGCAAGACAATATCTATATGCAGAAATCCCTGAACAGTACACGTGGGATAACAAAAATGCGGAACGAACGAAAAGAAAATAAATTAGCAAGCAACTAGGGTGCATGATAGAAATTACTCTTTTATCCGAAGACCAAATGGAGTTGTTTTTTTTGCGAATTCTGATGACGATAAAACGAGGAGAACAAGTTGCGAAGATCTGCGAACATTAGAAGACGGTCCAGAAGATAATTTTCTTGAGAATTATATCTCTTTTATCTTTCTAGTGCTTGCTCACTGGCTAACAAATAGTGGTGGTTTAATGATGGATTTCTTAGTTAATCTTCTCCCGGTATACCGCCGTACATATGATGGATTTGGCCACAAACGCCAAATGATTAGTGGCCTTGTTGTCCACGTTGCACACACGGACAAATAACACACTTAGTGCGACAAAAATGCAAATCTAAAATAATTAATATATTTTATAGTAGTTTGTGCTAAGACATAGTAACAAGAATACTAGTAGTTAATTCTCATTATGTATTTTAGAAATGAATACAGATAATAAATAATAACAAACCATATAAAATTTTAATGGATTTTCACATTGTTCTTTAAGTTCAAAAACATAAATGATATAGTAGCCAACAACTTAAGGTTGAGCTTATTTATGGCTATAATAAATTATACATTGTGCTATTTATTACTCGTCGTTTTTTTTCTCTTGTTCCTCCTCTACTATATCTTTTGCTCTATCTACAATTGTTTATTTTTAGAAAGAGATATCTAACAAACTAAGTACCTCTTTAGAGAAAGGATTTCGTCTTTAAAGACTTTGACTCTATGAGAAGGTATCACGGGATCAGACGACACTAACATAAAGTTAAAATATCTGTATCGGTGGTAATTGTAGTGGTTTTTTAGCGTGAAATAATCTTATATGTTTATATTGTTTATGCCTGGCCTCTAAAACGTCTTCTGTTCAACAGGTAATGGCAAATAATTTAGCCTTGGATAAATACTTTGTGAACTGAGATACTCATCTGATACCAGCCATATAGTTTTAAATATAATTTAGCTATATTAAGGCAATACGCTCGGAATAATTCTATATTTATATAAGGTTCACTAGATAAGGCGGTTAATATATTAGAAAATTAGTCAATTAGGTATTCCAACGACCAGTCAAACAATAGGGGCCTGTTGAAAATTATCCTATATCTAAGGGGGTACCGACATAGTCTTGCATCTTGCATGCTATTTGTATTCGAAATAGTAGTCGCCAAGCCTGCCTATTTATAAAGAAATGTATAAGCGGGTTTTTTAAATAATATTTTCATTGTGTTTGACATAAAATATTTAAATGTAATCCTTTATTCACGATTTTAAGTATAGTAGAAAAATACATCGTATGTCGCAACCCTTAGATATACCAAACCCCACTGGCAATTTATTTGTTTGAAATGCCTAATTAGGTTAAAAAATAATCCTGTAAATTTTGTTACGTTCGTCGGATTATCAAAAAAAATTCTGGCTGTATTGCCATCATTACTCTTGTTTAGGTTGATCAACAACTAATCCCATGTTTTGATAAAACATTTTAGTTATGGATTCTCTTTTTACTGAATGTTTTGTTTTGCATGTTCTCTTCGAGATTGCCACTTTTATATGTCCAGCTTATATAAAATATGCAAAAGAAATTCAGAGAAACTCAAGTAGGCATGAAGAACGGATATTCCAAATTTGTATGATTCCCTGTTACACTGTTTGTTAAAAACTGTTGTTAAATTATTTATATCCTTTGATGTTATATTATTGCAAATATTACATGCTTGAGTGGATAAAGCATCTGTTAGAACATTGCAAGTTTTTCCGTCAATCATTGTCCACACAGGAATATGTTTAAAATATAATTCCCTTCCATCAGTTATTGAGAGTTTCGTTGGTAAAAGTTCACTAATGTAAGAGTTAATTTCACAAGAGGCTGTTCTCATGTCTTCAGGAGTTTCCTTTTTAACTTAAACAAATCGGGCGGCAATATCTTGATGAAGATGGTTGAATATTTCTCCAATAAATAACTTTTCTATTATTAATATTAGATGACATTTCGAATGATATAATATGGGAATCACTACATTAAGATACATTTGAAAAATGTTTGTGTATATTATGAACCCTCCACTACCATCTTGTATATATTATGAACCCCCCACTACCATCTTGTATATGTTGCGGGCAGTGTTGTAAATTGGGCATTGCCAATATTGACTGGACACTAACGTCAGCAGCCATATTTGCTGGCCAATATCGTTATTATCTGGACAGTAACGAAAATGCCCATTAATCGTGGACAATTTTGATAATTTTTTTTGCATTTTTGTCCGGCCATTAACGACATCGATCATCAATGAGTGGACAATGTCGAAAATATATTATTTTTTTGCATCTTTGTCCGGATATTAATGACATTGACTATCAATAAGTGGCTGAAGTTGATTTTAAAGAATTAAGTTGGTACTGTAACTTAAAATTTTTATTTTCAAGACTTTACCAGTAAGCTACTGTAAAATTAACCTGAAAACATTATAATTATATATAACTATTAATCAGTTTTATTGGAGCATGATAATGATCCATGACATTTGAAATTACACATTTTTTTCTTGGCGCGACAAGCGCTTTTATTGTTTTTGCACCCACCCTTACAGTGACAACAGTGAAAACAGTGTTTTGTGTTGCAGCTTCTCTAAGTGAGATGTCTTTTCCTTTAATGGCATCACTAAGGTTTTCCAATAATATAAGCTTCCCCAAACATGGATTGAATTCAGATCTTGTAAATTTTTGCTGTATTTTATTCAAATTCAAATCGTTGCGGTTTGCGCTAACGATAACGCCCGGGCAGAGTCGTAAAAAGGCTATGTCATTTAAAGTTTATCAACATTTTCCAATTTAAGCGGATGTTTACGTTATTGGCAGGTTATTATCAATAATTCCCAAATAGGATATTTACCGGCCAATATCGTTAAAGACCGAAATATCATCTTTAACCGTAACATATATAACATCAATTTCGGTTATTTTTATCTGGAATATTATATAAGACTTCGTCTTGGATTTGAACCAAACAAGTAATAGGGTGATCCAGTAGATCTTGTAACGTTTAGCTTCAGTCTCTGTAACCATGATATTAAGTGAATAGCAATCTAACTGTGCTTGGGACACAACATTATAAGGAGGACATTTGCCCCTTTTTTCTTTGCTCCCATTTGAATCTGGTGGTATTGCTGTTTGCTTATGTGAATTTATAATAACAGCTAGAGCTTATTCTGAGGTATAAGCCTATTTCATTTTCTTTAATCTTCGTGGTGTTGTATTCAGTGCTATTTCAGCCACAGTTCGTTTTCTACTTTTCATCAAACTTACTTCAGTAGCCTGAGTTAATTCTTGTGGGCTTACTTTTGTAACAAGTGATATAACTTTTTTTTTAGTTTTGTACGTTTTGAACTCTCAGAAAATAGTTTCCACGATTGTCCCTGTACTCGATAAATTTCAGGCTTTAATTTTTTTCGTTTATCAACACTAGGAAAAGTTCAGTTTTACTAACACTAAAGTATTGTAAAGCGGTTTGTTCAGCGCAGCTACCTGCAAAAAAATTGATCTTTTTAGATAGCTACCTATTTAGTATTATTTTAGTATACCTTCCATCTAACATACAAACGGTAAAATACAAAGGAACTCTGGTAAGTAAAGGTTACGCGAAAACTATATTTCTGTTCAAAAACGACTTCACATGTACAGAGGTCGAATATATATTACAATATTTATGTTTAACTAAGTAAAATGGAATATTTATATTATATTGTAAAAGAATGTACTTCCAGCAGCAGTTTCCATAGTAGAACTATTAAAATTGGTAAAACTTAATAAAGAACAACACTGTGTTACTACAGGATATATCAGGACATGTTTACAATATCAATGTTAAATGGAATGTAACTGTCACTTTTCGAGACACATGACAGTCGCCTTCTTGGTACATTACGCAAATTTAGACTACTACAGATAGAATAGGTCATTCTATAATATTTCTGTTTGATTTTGATTTTTTCGTGTGTGCGTCGATATTCTACTCGTCTGGATGTCTTGAACGAAGCCATAGCGAATACACTGTTAATAGATATTATTTCTCTTCTAAATTAGATGACGCTGGCATTGTTACCTCAATACAGGTTCTTTAGTGCTTTGGGATAATTCAAATATGTTGGTAGAATGTAAGCTCCATTTTTACAACTTAGCCATACGTTCGATCGATTTTTCTTCTTGCCTGTAAAATACAGGGTTCCACCAGTGTTCACACATTTATATTAATAGTCCTAAGAAATGTGGGTTACTTCCTAGTATTTAAGTATCTTCAACTGACAGTAACACCTTTCTTGTATGTTACTCTCGACGGATTGACGACTTCTTTGTTGTTGTTGTTGTTAATAATAATGTGTGTGTGTGATTAAGTTTAGGTTTCCCTTGGCTACGGATACTAAGTCCATTCGCCAGCTTAACAATTTGCTCAAGGATGAACATCCTTATATAAATTTTTTAAACATTATTATTACATTTTTTTTTTTAATTATATCTTATATCTACTATATACATCGTTTATATTTACTTTTAATTACAATTTTTTTTTTTTTTTATTTTTTTTTTTTTTTTGTTTTTTTTTTTTGTTTTTTTTTTTTTTTGTTTTTTTTTTTGACAGGGACACTTTTTGCGCTCAGGGGTCGATCAGAGCGACTACAACAAACAAGAGGACCACGGATTGTTTGGGTTGCACAATAGGGATGGATATTATGGACATACATATATGGATATATTTTTATAATGCGTCAATACTTATCTGTTTAAATCTTAAGTCCTATTTTACATATATGCGAGTTTAATTTTTTGTATAATTCAAAATTATTTGAACAAATTAATTGTGTTAGATTATACGGAACCACTATTTCATTGTTCTTATTATAAATAAAGTTATTTAGTTCATTAACATAATTTTGAATTAATAAACATCCTAAAATTTTATTTTCTGCATTTCCTTCCTCTCCGCAATCACACAAGGGCGAATCCTGAAGATTAATTTTAAATAAATGTGACTCAACTAATGTATGATTGAATCTTAGTCTACAAATTTTCGATATCACTACCTTATCTAATTCTGATTTTTGGAACCAGGGTTTACTGGGAATATCCGGTTGAATACTTTTATAAAACTGGCCTTTCGTTGAGTTTTGGTAATCCTCCTTCCAATTGCTTATGGTCATAGACTTTGCCCACGCGTTCATATCTTCTTTTAAACATTTAGTTTGTCTTCTTTCCTTCTTCTATGGCGTTTTTTGCTAGCTCATCTACTTTTTCATTGCCAACTATACCACAATGAGCTTTAACCCACACAAATTTTACATGTTTCTGAGATAATTCCAAATTATATACCGTTCTTATTATATCCGCAATGATGTTATTAATTTTTGATTTGTCTGTTACATTTTTGATTTTTTCCAAGGCACTTCTACAATCGGAGATAATCACAAATTGGTTATTGTCCAATTC